AGATCAGTATATGCAATTTGCTTTTTATAACTTAGATATATTTCTGTTGTATAGACATCTAAATAATATGGCTAAAATTATAAATTGTTTAATATTACTTCAAAGTGTTTATTAAGAGCTTTATTGAAATATAATTTACACATCCAGAAATTTACCCATTTTGACTATACCAGTGATTTTTAGTAAATTTAGGGCATTGTACATTGAAATCTACACATGTGCCACCACTTGTGAGTTGTTGCACATTCAATCCAATTTAAGAACATTTTCATCATTCCCGAAAGATTCCTCATGCCCATTTGCAGTCAGTCTGTTCCTATCCCCCAGCCCCAGGCAACCACCAGTCTACTTTCTGTTTCTATAGATATGTTCTGGACATTTCACATAAATGGAATCATGTATTATATGATCTTTTGTGTCTGGCTTCTTTAATTTAGCATTTCAAAGACTTTCAGGTAGAAGATGAGGGAAGGCTTCAGATAACCCTAGTTACCTTCATTCTTTTGCACAGGATGCTCTAGTTACAGTCAGTATTTTGTTCTCTTTCCTTTAGAAAAAATGAGCCTTTGACAACAAACAGTGACACAGGATCCTGGTTACTTCTGCAGTTCCTGAAATTCACAACTTCTCAAACCTGTTCCCCTCAGCACACAAGGAACTACAGATATTGGTGCGACAGTCAGAGTGAATGAAGAGGCTGCTTACTGCTGGAGGCAACCGGTCTGCGCAGCTCTGTGCCTTGCTGGGCCACTTTGCGGGGGGAGGTCAAGGGGGTCCTGGCACAGTTATAGCAAATGTACATCATCCCAGTGTGCTTATGCCATGCAGGCCAGGAAATTCTCCCACAAGTCTTGTGGCTTTGATGTGACAGGACCTTTTCAGTGTTCTTGTGAATGTGCTGCAGAGGCTGAGCCCGCAAACCCCTTTTCTCAGTGCTGCTCCTATGTAATAATGATGGCTAAAAGCCTGTTCAGAGACAGTCAAAATCTTTGAAAAACTGAGTTATTTTTCTCATGTAAATGAATATAGATTTACTTCTTCCTTTTTAATGCTGAGTAGAAGAATTCCAATGCGTTGATACCACAATTTATTTAATTAGTTCATTATTTAGTTTTTCTTATTATTTTCTACAAGCTGGTAAATTTCGTATTTCTGTTTGCCCATTTTTGCCTTCTTGTGCAGGTGTCAGTAGGGTAAATTCCTACAAGGGGACTTGCTGGATCACAGGCTGTGTACATGTCAGATGTTGCTATCTGTTATTGGAGTGGTAGGTTAGAGGCCTCCTGATGACAGCTGATTGTGGGATCCATGGTAGGTAGGCTGTGGCTACAACAGCAATGGTTTTTAATGGGCGTGCGAGTGGGTGAAGAGGAGTACCTTTCGGAGTGTCTTGGAGGTGGGAGTGAGCTTGAGTAATTTGGCCAGCCTCTCCAAGTGATTCTAATATGCGCGCCACTGGATTAGAGTTTGTTTCTGTGTTTTCTACCCAAAAGTATGAATGCTGCTGTGAGAATTATATTTGGTATTGAGCTCATCAAGGCTGTCATAAAAAGCATCATGGTTTGAGAGTTTGCTCTGCTCAGTAACTCAAAAAAAAATGTAGCCAATAGAGCAGAAGAAAGTGACCCTATAAACTGATGCGAAAAGTATCTCCCATCTGTTGAGAAAATCCTTTATAGTCTTTCCTCAAGAAAGAGTTAGCCTTTCTCCCTATCAAATGTTCAGTCCAGACTGCCCTTTGGTGATGGGTGTTCTTCTCTCCCAGTATACACGCACTGCTCATTTTAACCTATGGAAATGAGAGCGGGTTGGGAGTGGGAAATCTACACATGTGCCACCACTTGTGAGTTGTTGCACACGTTAAAGAACAACCAGCAGCCTACTGATCCCTGGAAATCTACTTTTGCACCCATAATAAAGTAATCCCAGGGTACGGTTTCAAGTTATAGGACAGTGATACTCGGTAAGTTTTAAGGAGGAAAAAAAATGAAAGAGGATGTTTCTAAGTGGGTGTAGAACACTTGCAAAGTTAAATATTAATGAATTAAACTCTTTGAATTACTGTGTGCTGTGGAATAAAGAAGCAGTGTGGGTCAACTTCAAAATTCTGGTATTTTCATCTCTGTTGGAATTTTTTGGCAGTGAGTCCCCCTTAAAGGTTTATAGTGAATGTAATATACCATTCTACTGATCAAAGAAACTTACTTGGTGTTAGAAAGCCACTTGGGAGCCAGAGTGTTTACTGGGTAATTTCTTAATGAGTTCTGGCACATGGTTCTCATCTTTTTAAGAGTGAGGAATGTAACTCGGAATGCACAAAGTCAAACCATAAGCATTTTGGCAGATGTGGAGATGCAGAACAGCTGGAGAAAAACTCCCTTCTTTGAAATCTCATATCTCAAACGCTACATCAATTTTTAAGCATGTTCTACTGCCAGTTCAGATTTTAATATGAACAGGAATAGGGAATGTTTATTGATATAGTAAGAAAACAGATCAGAATCTATTCACTGGTTGCCCTTTTTGTCTCCACAAATAATCTTTGAGGACAACAGGTGAGGCACAATAAGAGAGGATAAGAAGGTTCTCTGTTGTTGCTCTCTTGGCAAGAAACCTGGCAAGCAGGACATCTGAGGTAGTAATTTATCCTATGATATTTATCCTTCGCCTGCTGGATCAGTGGTACTCTGGTTCATTGGGGAATACGAAGCACTGATAAGTATACTTTTAAAAATGCTTGTTTTTCATTAAAAGTAATACATGTTTATTATATAATATATAGGACATAAAGGAAAAGTTCTTGAAGCTGTTGCTTTGTGCAGCTCCCAGCTTTTTATCTGTAATGTTTTATTGTCTTTCTGGTCCAATAAAACTTGAATAAAGATCTCAGTTCCCCCAGACCACACAGTTTCATTCTTCACTAGCAGCCAGCAAGCATATATCAAGTTGCACACACTGAGTCAGGAATTGGACCACTGCTGAAAATACAAAGGGAACAGAGATTTGGTTCTACACAGATCCTAATGGGTAGTGTACATGATAAATGATTAAACCAGTGATTAAATTGGAGAAATCACAGTATGTCCGGAGGTTGAATGAATCCATATAAATAAGAGAAAAAGTCATGGGTCACTAACTGCTTGATCTGATTTGTGCTCTGGGCCTTGGTTTCTTTGCCTGCGAAATGGGGGGTTGGGTGAGATGACATGCAGAGTAACCAACTTGTTCCGTCTGCCTGGGACTTTCCCAGGAACCCCTTACTCCCAACTTTAAAACTGAAAGTCCCTTGTCCTAGGAAACCTCAAAGTGCTGGGCAGACTGAGAGTTGGTCAGCCTATTTGTAGGGTTCCTTCTAATCTTCATCTCCTATGATGTGTTAAAAAACAAAATTCAACTGACTACATTTTGAAGATCTTATTGGCTTTATTCAGCAATTTATGAATTAGGTAGCATCCAGTCTAGTAAATAGAAAGGAGCTCTGAGGAGCTGTACAGAGTGAAAGACTTTTATAGGCAGAAAGGGTGGGAACAAGAAAGTTTTATGACGCAAAAGGCAGGTTGGTTATTGTAATATTACTTTCCTTTAGGAGAATGCAGGGGCATATCAGACAGATTCCTTAAGTAGTGCTGATCAGGCAATTTATGATTGTCTGACTTAAGATTCCATTTCTGGGAGCTGAAATTAATTAAGTCTCCGTTTGGTGATGTGGGGCTTACCATAAACGACTCCATTTTGGACCTGTTGTCACGTTTTTATCAGATTGTATATTGAGAAGCAGTATTTCACGAGGTTTATATGACCACATGATAAGACACTTAGATTGAAATAGTTATGTACATTAGCAATACTATTGTTTTCTTCTTTAAAAAAAAAATCCTAGGGGCGCCTGGCTGGCACAGTCGGTTAAGCGTCTGACTCTTGGTTTCGGCTTAGGTTGCAGTCTCAGGGTTGTGAGATTGAGCCCCATGTCTGGCTCGGTACTCAGAGTCTGTTTGAGACTCTCTTCCCCTCTCTTTTTGCCCCTCCCCACTGCGCTTTCTCTCTCTATCTCTCTCTCAAATAAATAAATCTTAAACAAACCAAAAAAAAATCCTAAAGGGTAAGTTATTTAAACACATTTTATGTAAAACAGGCTCTGTAAACTAGCTGGTGACAGAAACATTAATATTATATTTATGGGAAAGATGAGTTTTATTCTAAGAAACTATCTCACAAATAAATATCTGCAAACACTCTGTAGAGTCAGAGAGTTTTGTACAAACAGCTGCCTTGGGTGTGATTCTCAGTTGGGTCCTCTAGGAATCTGGTGTAGTGCAAAGAGCACTGGCTTAGCAATCAGGCCGTTTTTGCTCTTTTGTTTGCTAGCCATAAGAGCTAGAGAAAATAACAGTATCTTCATTTATAAAATATGAATAATAGCTATCTGGCATGGTTGTTAGGAGAGAATCACAGAGGATATTGGTATGTAGTAAGTGATCAACAGATGTTTTTTGTTTCCCTAAGCAATTTGCTTTCCATTGTTTTTATGTTTTGTTTTTTTAAAGTAGGCCCCATGCCCAACATGGGGCTTGAACTCAAAACCCTGAGACCAAGAGTCACACACTCCACTGAATAAGCCAGCCAGGCGCTCCTATATTGTTTTTAAATTAAAAGGAATTGGATCTGATTGGGACACAAGCAAGAAAGACACTCTTTATACGAGCTTATCTAAAAAATATTGAACATAAATATTGATGTGTGTATACATATAAAAGTATACATATTTATATATGAATATATATTTACAGTTAATGTTGCCCAAGAGAGCCAAAGCATGTCCTAAATGTTACTCTTCAAAATTAGGATCCAACCTAAGTCATAGAGTCTTCCAAACCCCTTTTAACTGTTGAAAGTAACTATTATAATTTGGTAAAAACTGATCTAACTTGTTTAATATCCACTAAGGCTAATGATTTATTTGTATTTTATTTTTTTAAAGATTTTATTTATTTATTTGACAGAGCGAGAGAGCACGAGCAGGGGAAACAGCAGACGGAGAGGGAGAAGCAGGCTCCCTGCTGAGCAGGGAGCCCGATGCAGAGCTTGATCCCAGGACCCTGGGATCATGACCTGAGCTGAAAGCAGACACTTAACCATCCGAGCCACCCAGGTGCCCGATTCATTTGTATTTTAATGGCAATAAAAAAGAAGCTACAGTTTTGCAGGCAAAACTATATTCAATGCTGATGCATGGGTTGCTCTAACAAGGATAAAATTATATGAAATAAATACTGAAACTAAAAAAGTTTAAATGTACACCAAAAATGATAGCTAATAAGCGATAACAGCTTTTAACTTATTCTAGCGTGCATATATTACAAACACTACTGTGGGAAGTAATGGCCTAAAGTAAAAATAAGATACACCTAAAGAAACATCTGATGCCATAATGCATCTGAAAAAAAAAATGAAAACGCAAGGTTTTTTGGTACACATTCACTGGTGATTTCAAGGGCAAGAATACCGAGCTCCTTGAGATGTATAACTATTCACTGACAAGCCAGAGATACTAGCCTGTGTTCTAGATAGCAAATGATATAATTCCTTCCCCAGCTCTACATTTTTACATTTCTTAGCTAGGAGACAAGTGTCAGTTTGTATTGCAAAGCTCAAGCTATTTTAACATCTCCATATTCATTTGTCTGTAGAGACAGAAATGTTGGCCCCTGAAAACAGCATTAAATATTGAATTACCTAATTCAGCACTCATTACCACAATGCCATTGTACCCCCACTGTGTGCATGGGAGTTGTGGTAGGCACTGGGAGGAGTGATTATAAAGATAAACTGAACAAACAAATGGCAGGCATATTTCTTGCCTTCTAAGAGTTTATAGTTTTGCGGGGGAGGTACAATTTCACAAAATAAAATAAGCAATTTAGTTAGGATTATTTAAATAATGAGTTTTTGAAACAGTTTCCCCCAGAATGAAAAAAATGGGATCAGTGCCAAAGTGACCAGTTCCAAAGTGATGCTCTAAAACTTTAGAAGTTTCCTTGGAGTAGCAAAAACTTTCCAGGAAGTGAAGCAGTTTATAAATAGTTTCAGATCTTTGTGGAAATATGCTGAAGCTGGCAGAAAATGAATCCATGGAGCATTTGACAATACCCACCTAATCAAGATCTTAAAAAAAAAAAAAAATCAAGGGGAGTTGTCCATGGATTATATATCTATTACCAGAGACCTTCAGGCAAAAGTACAGATTAGGTGGTTGGTGATGGGATTGCAACCACAGAAAAGTGAGATATAGGTAGTGAAATTCTGAAGTGATCTGTTAGGCTAATCAGCCGTAAGACAGAACACCCCTGTTTTTGATAACAGATGAAGAAAGGCTATGGAAGAGACAGATTCTGGTAAGGCAGAGTGTTTCATAACAAACACTAAAGATGACATTTCTAATTAGTGGGCATGGGCTTTATTTTGCAGTGTTAACAACTGTTTTTGAATCAAATGGATTGGTGAGGATCTGTGACATGGTAGGCATCAGTGGAGAAGGTTTTGGGATTTTAGAGAACTGTACCTTTAATATATCTCAACAGCATGGTTTGAAGGGTTTCAGGGAAGGCTTCTTGTCTCCTATTAACTCTTACACTCAGGAATAAAAGTCCTGTTATTGGCAACTTCTGTGCGGTGAACATTATTCTTTCCCTTTGTCTCTTTTTGAAGGTGGAAGAATGGCTGAGAATGACAGCACTGTTTCTCCTTCACACCTTAGATCAATGCTTATTAGATCACTTTCCTGTTTGATGAGAGAGATGGGAAAACTTGAGAACACTAGGGAGTATGGAAGGAGGTGGGGGTGGCAGAAGCTGCAGAGATGGAGTCCATCCTGGAATATGATGGTGCTGGCTTACGAGGTTTTTTTTTATTTGTATACAAGGATATGAGAGTTAAGAAATTTTTATTTTGTGTAGGAAATATCTTATGTCCTAACTCACTGGGGTATTGTTAGGATAGAAGTAATAATGAAATAATAAGCATTATTAAGCATTGATGAAGAATATGATTTTAACATTGTGATACTGATAAGTTATCAATATCAACCACCACATAAATCTAGGTCAAAGAAAATTTAACCGCAGGGGGAAGAAAATAAATCCACGAGACTGCCTTTAGCAAGGTCACAGAGCAAAATAGTTTCCAGCCCTGAGAACTTGTGATTTCCTTCCTGTTTCTTTTCATCTTTATCCATTCTGTATTCCACTGTTTTCTCTCTAATGTTCCTTCCCCTACCCTTGCTTTTCTCAGGAAGCGTATTTTCTATTCGAGACCTGAGGATATTGCCACGGTTTTGGTTATTGCTTTTGCACTTGTGTAGCAGCTTTTAAATTCCCATCTTTTTTAGCAGCTGCAGCCAGACAAACATATGAGTCAGTGGGAGGGGTTTAGAGGAACTGGCTCAGTTCTCCAGGGAGCAGTAACCTTTTGGCAGTCCAACAAACAGAACATTTAAAGTCCAATGACTGCAAAAGCTCTCTTTGTACATGTGATAGCAACTGCAGTTTTCCCAAGGTCTACTAAGAGTTTTTCAGAGGGAATCAGGTTTCTGCCTATAGAGAGACACATTCCTGAAGGCTTAACTCTGACCTCATAGCTGAAGTGGATACAAAATAAAATCTGGAGACAGCTGGGAAGTGATAAGGGGTGGGGGGAGGAAGAAGCTTGGGGATATGAAAGTGATGAAAAGGTCTTATTAAATGTTCTCTCTGGGTCTTGTTGCCTCTGTACCCTACACTCCAAATAGGGAAGCAAAACTAATCTCTCTCACTCTCTCTTTTTTTCCCCCCAGTAGTTCATGGTACCAGGATCTTTCTCTTTATACCAAGACCAACTTGGTGGTCGTTGGGGACCTCCCAGAGGGGTGGGCATTTTCAAATCAACATTTTTCATCTCTTCATTTCCAGTGGCGGCGGCAGTCCACAGGCTGAGGTGTGTCTGTGACTGAAGCTTCCACTTTGGGTGCCTAACTGCTGTTTGCCTTTTAAAAAATATGCCAATTTGATCAACCTAATATTAGGAGGAAAACGAAAATAGGAGTGGGTTGTTGACTCCTACGAGAAACCAATAAATGATTTCTTATTTCTTCATTTGCTTACATTGCTCTTCTGTGTATCTTTTGCTTTCATCTTCATTGCTTATCATAAAATGAAAAGATTAAGAATCTTGTGTGGAGGGATGAGTCATGGAAGAATTTTTTGTGGCAAGTAGGAACAGTTGGTTCTTTTGATAAATGAAAATTCAGACAATACTTTCCTTGATACACGTTTTGCCAAGATAAAGTTCCACGATAATGTCTGTTTAGGCTGCAAAAGGCAACAAAATAATATCTTAGTTAACATAGAAGAAAGTGGTAATTAGCGGCCACTTGGAAAGTCAAAGCCACAGTTCCAATAAGGCTGGAAAGTTTTACTTGATAACCCAAGGTACCAGTTGGGGTTCTTGGTTTCAAGTAACAGAGAACCTCGGTCCAACATAGGCAGAGAAATAATTGTTGAAAGGATATTGGGTTTCTCACAATTGGCCAGAGGTCTGGAGATCTGATTTATGAAGAGACTGGGGACCAAGGGAAGCTAAGCAGCTGAGGACACAGCTGGGATCACTCCACTGGCATAGCCTGCTTAGAATCATTCTTTATTCGTGTTGCCATTAGCATTGATGCCCCTGGTTACTCACCACCACACCACTGGCCACTGCCCTCTGCTGTGGGGACCAGGAATATTTTCTGGCTATTCAACTTGACCCCTCTCTCTCAAGAATCAAAGGGCCAGTCAGGAAAACCTAATTGGCTAAGCTCATGTCATGTGTGTTTGTCCAAGCAGCTAGGGATGGTGCCTGAATTGGGGGGGATGAGGGGTGTGTATGTGTCAGGAGACTGGGAGGTGGGCATTTTCAACTCAATTTTATCTATCTATTCATTGTCCAACAATGGACAAGCAAGAGGCTTCCCACTCCGTGCCGTTTACTTACCCTGTTGGAGGTGAAGACATCCACCCTTCTTGTATCTTTGCAGTACTTAGTATATCGGTCTTACTGCATTCTGTTTGTAAGTGTGTTTTCTCAGGCTGGTCTGTGAACTTACAGAGATGAGGGATTGGGTCGTGTTTTTAGCCTTATCACCTACGGTGTCTAACAGATATTAGGTGCTTAAAATATATTAGGTGAATAAATTATGTTTAGTGATATACAGGAAAGGCTAAAATAATGATAACGTAGAATAATAACAGCAAACAAGTATTGATGGAATCCTTGTTATATACTGGTCATTTTCTCATTTCATCCTCATAACAATCGTATGAAGTAGGTTCTATTCGTTTCTTCATTTTATGCCTGAGAAACTAAGGCTCAGGATAACTAACTTGTCCTAGTTTGTGTAACTGAAACTGACAGAGCAGGGATTTCAGCCCCGGGGATTCTGACTCCAGAGCCTATCATCGGAACTGTACTGCCCCCTGGAGGTAAATAAGAGAAGAGGAAAATGGATCTAAGAGGGGAGGGATCTCTAGCATGCTGTTCTCTATTAGATGTTCACTTAGAGTGGATGGTATTTATTTGATGATAGACAAGCCAAGAAAGAGGTTTTTGTTTATTGATATAAATGAGATCATCTTTGGAATTTGTTATTATCCTAAAGGAACTGGTATTTTATAATAACTTACCTTGCAGCGTTGTCGTGAGGATGAAATATATTGTAGATGAAAGGTCTGTCATAGTGCTGCCTTGTGGTTGCTATTATTAATATTGTTACTGTTATTTTGATTTCTAATCTAATTCACTGGGGCAGATGACATGCATATGATAAACCACAAGCTGGTAGAAAGATTGAGGTTAAATAATCCTTGGCAATCTTATTTGGAAACGCTGGAGCTGGGTTAGAATTTAATAAGCCCTAAGCCAGAAAACTTTGTCACCAAGATGAGATAGGGAGATAGAATACACGGGTCCACGTTAACAACAGGGCAGTATGTGTGGTGGTCCTGGGTGCAGCCTGGACGTAAGGCCCAGCGTCAGTGGTGGGAAAGAATTGCATCAGAACTGAGACAAACCATTTATCTGGGCTTCAGTTTCTTCATGTACTGGAAAAATAGACTTCCTTCTTTTTCTGTTTGGTTG